CATTTCAAGATAAAAATACATATTGCGTCAAAATAAACATGAATTGAGAAATGAAGTCCAGTTCAAAAAATGTTTCTTCATGCGCAATAATATTATGACATGGGTATAGTTTGAGATGGGACATACATAAAAAAATGATTTTTTTTTGCTGGGAGCATAATTTGTAAACAGGCTCGCAATTTCATTTATACGCAGGTATATATGGGTCGTCAAAATCACTTACAAATTCTTGTATCATATCCATGATTCTTCTGTCCCTTGTATTGTGTTCATATCCGTCAACTAGCTGCAAAAGCCTGTTTTTCAGCCATGGACTCAACTTGGAATATTCAATTCCATGGTCCAAAGTGTAAGCCGCTCCAGCCAATGTCAAAATGAACATGACGCCGTTTAACACCATGAACTGTTTTCAACGAAAAATAGACAATAAATGCAGCTGTTATATGTTGCCGAAGAACGTAAGCATAATTGATTATGACATCCAAGTAAATTTTCTTTACTAACTTGTGGTTACATTATCCGTAAAATATTCCGAGGAAAGATTTAATGCAAAATCAATTCTACGACATGGATTTCTTAATTTTTTATCACATTTGCCAAATAGTCGGTGATAAATTCAGTCTAGGTATTTCGACTTTCTAGCATCTTTGGGTTCGATTGACATTTTTTCAAGCCACAGACAGTATTTCAATCTTGAGAAATAACGTTTCAGGGTCTGCCTAAAAATTTCTTCAACAAAGTCCGAAATATTTTATCTTGCTTCAGTTTATATATACCTCGATTTAAAAAAAACACCATGCTTGCTTATTGTCATTTTTTCTGCTTTATTAAAAAAATGTCGTTCAAAATTCAACTAACTGTCCTCAGAAGTCCGGGACTTTCATTGATAGCGCCGATGCAGCCAACGAATGATAATATCATTGATAGAACTCCGACCGTGAACAAAATGTAAATCCCGTTCCAGAAGTGTTGAAGGCCTAGTTCAATAATCCATTCCTTGAAATCATCTTGGTACCTGATCCAAGCTGCCAATGCAAACAAGGCTGCTCCCAAAAGCTGGAAAATATTGAGCAAATTGGCTTCAATATGATACTCGATTGAGTAAGGGATTATGAAGCCTGGAAAAAATTTCAACACTTTTTTGAATAATATAAATACCGATTCATTATAATTACTGCGTTTACTAAAAATCCAGCACTCTTATGTTTTCAATATGCAGATTCTCTTGTCTTTTTCTGAATTGTATGCAGAATTTTTTCATGAACTGAATTTCATGCAGCAGGCATCCTTTTTCTTAACCTTTTCCAAAAAGCGTAACAGATACCATAAATTAAAATGATCTCGTTGAAAAGCTTTGGTTGGGATGATCGATTATTGTTGCCAAATGAAATGGTTGCCCCTTTTGCAATGCCTTTTCATTCATAATTTGTTTACACAAATACACGCTGTATTAAGGACCATCCTTTCCAAAAACAGCGAATAAAATAAATGATCATACTCATTGTAGATGAGAAAAAATTGCTTCTCGATTCTTTCAATTTCAACGTGTCTCATACTTGATCAACTTGAATCACATAAAATAAGAAATACAAGCAAATAAAATTATTATGATTGATATACAGTACTGGAATTTGTTCACAAAAGTACCATTCACGCACAGCTTTTTCTGGAAGTCAATACAGTACTAGAATGGGTACTTCATTTCACTTCGACAAACTTTTTAAAATCTTTGAATCTGTTTTACACGTTTATTCCTTAAAGCATATCATCAATATATACTGTGTATAAAGGTTCCAAAAGCAAAAATAAATAATTAAGCTCATTTAGAATTTTCTTCCATTTTCCTTCCCTTCATATCCTCAACTACTATATATATAATTGATACAAAATTTGAATTCGCTAATAATACAGATTTCAAATTGAATTTATCCATAGTCAAGATCTGGGGTGCAAATATCTTGTGGAGATACCTTTTTGTGCTAAAACTTTGTTAGGAAACCATTATGGTAGGTGTCAGACTTGATCGAGTGCTTGTATAAATTATCATTTGATTCAACGTCATTACAACTCATTAAACTCAATAAGAACATCATCATGATATTAACATGCTTGAAAAGTACTTGCAAGTACATCAGACTCACCCAGGTAATGACGTTGACGAGAAATATCAGGTACTTCAAGCAAATAATTTGCCTCTCAATCGCTCCTTTGCCTTTCCCAATCGCCATTTCACTTATACTCTCTCGCACACGGACGCCAAAATATATGTTGCCAAAAAATCCTGAACCCTTCCCAGTCAATATAATCGTCTTTTTAACTATACAGGGAATGATCGGAAACTATTAGCACAAGAAATCAGAAGCTTCCCCCTATCACACCTGGATGACACCCTACTGATGATGAGGACCACTTCTTCGTCTCTTCAAGGGCGTACTTGTATATACGCTTTGAAATTTTATCACAGANCCCTGTAGGATCCTACTGGTTGTTCCTCCCACTGCGGACGTTAAAAGTTATGATGAGCAACATCATTTTTACTCAATAAATGTTATTTCCTCAGTAAATTATTCTAAATTCAAATTAGATTCATCTTTTGCTTGAATCCTGGGGAGCATTTATCCCTTTTACATTTTTACTCAAGGTAGGGTACATATTATTCGAATAATTGGAGCGGTCTGACGCATATACAATGCATGATTTCAAAAGTCTACCACATTTCAAGATAAAAATACATATTGCGTCAAAATAAACATGAATTGAGAAATGAAGTCCAGTTCAAAAAATGTTTCTTCATGCGCAATAATATTATGACATGGGTATAGTTTGAGATGGGACATACATAAAAAAATGATTTTTTTTTGCTGGGAGCATAATTTGTAAACAGGCTCGCAATTTCATTTATACGCAGGTATATATGGGTCGTCAAAATCACTTACAAATTCTTGTATCATATCCATGATTCTTCTGTCCCTTGTATTGTGTTCATATCCGTCAACTAGCTGCAAAAGCCTGTTTTTCAGCCATGGACTCAACTTGGAATATTCAATTCCATGGTCCAAAGTGTAAGCCGCTCCAGCCAATGTCAAAATGAACATGACGCCGTTTAACACCATGAACTGTTTTCAACGAAAAATAGACAATAAATGCAGCTGTTATATGTTGCCGAAGAACGTAAGCATAATTGATTATGACATCCAAGTAAATTTTCTTTACTAACTTGTGGTTACATTATCCGTAAAATATTCCGAGGAAAGATTTAATGCAAAATCAATTCTACGACATGGATTTCTTAATTTTTTATCACATTTGCCAAATAGTCGGTGATAAATTCAGTCTAGGTATTTCGACTTTCTAGCATCTTTGGGTTCGATTGACATTTTTTCAAGCCACAGACAGTATTTCAATCTTGAGAAATAACGTTTCAGGGTCTGCCTAAAAATTTCTTCAACAAAGTCCGAAATATTTTATCTTGCTTCAGTTTATATATACCTCGATTTAAAAAAAACACCATGCTTGCTTATTGTCATTTTTTCTGCTTTATTAAAAAAATGTCGTTCAAAAGTCAACTAACTGTCCTCAGAAGTCCGGGACTTTCATTGATAGCGCCGATGCAGCCAACGAATGATAATATCATTGATAGAACTCCGACCGTGAACAATACGTAAATCCCGTTCCAGAAGTGTTGAAGGCCTAGTTCAATAATCCATTCCTTGAAATCATCTTGGTACCTGATCCAAGCTGCCAATGCAAACAAGGCTGCTCCCAAAAGCTGGAAAATATTGAGCAAATTGGCTTCAATATGACACTCGATTGAGTAAGGGATTATGAAGCCTGGAAAAAATTTCAACACTTTTTTGAATAATATAAATACCGATTCATTATAATTACTGCGTTTACTAAAAATCCAGCACTCTTATGTTTTCAATATGCAGATTCTCTTGTCTTTTTCTGAATTGTCTGCAGGATTTTTTTATGAACTGAATTCCATTCAGCAGGCATCATTTTTCTCAACCTTTTCCAAAAAGCCTAACAGCTACCATAAATTAAAATGATCTCGTTAAAAAGCTTTGGTTGGGCTGATCATTTGTTACCGATTTAAATTTTATCCATTTTGTAATGTCTTTTTATTCTCAATTTGTTTGCGCAAATACACGCTGTATTATTGCGAACCATTCTTCCCAAAAACTGTGAATAAAATGAATTATCATACTCATTGTAGATGAGAAAAAATTGCTTCTCGATTCTTTTAATTTCAACGTGTCTCATACTTGATTAACTTGAATCACATAAAATAAGAAATACAAGCAAATAAAATTATTATGATTGATATACAGTACTGGAATTTGTTCCCAAAAGTACCATTCACACACAACTTTTTCTGGAAGTCAATACAGTACTAGAATGGGTACTTCATTTCACTTCGATAAACTTTTTAAAATTTTTGAATCTGTTGTACACGTTTATTCCTTAAAGCATATCATCAATTTACTGTGTAAAAAGGTTCCAAAAGCAAAAATAAATAATTAAGCTCATTTAGAATTGTCTTCCATTTTCCTTCCATTCATATCCTCAACTAATGTACATATCAATGATGCAAAATTTTAATTTGCTAATAATACAGATTTCAAATTGAATTTTTCCATAGTCAAGATCTGGGGTGCAAATATCTTGTGGAGATGCCTTTTTGTGCTAAAACTTTGTTAGGAAACCATTATGGTAGGTGTCAGACTTGATCGAGTGCTTGTATAAATTATCATTTGATTCAACTTCATTACAACTCATTAAACTCAATAAGAACATCATCATGATATTAACATGCTTGAAAAGTACTCACAAGTACATATCTGAGTGGGTCCATTACTGCAACTGCTCTTTATAGTCCATGAAGTTCGTTTATTAAACGGAGAGTTAGCGAGGAAACGGAAAGGGTTAGCGGTAAAGTGAATATGAGAGAGCGTGTGCCTGCGGTTAATATATGTTGCCAAAAAATCCTGAACCCTTCCCAGTCAATATAATCGTCTTTTTAACTATACAGGGAATGATCGGAAACTATTAGCACAAGAAATCAGAAGCTTCCCCTCTCGCACACGGACGCCAAAATATATGTTGCCAAAAAATCCTGAACCCTTCCCAGTCAATATAATCGTCTTTTTAACTATACAGGGAATGATCGGAAACTATTAGCACAAGAAATCAGAAGCTTCCCCTATCACACCTGGATGACACCCTACTGATGATGAGGACCACTTCTTCGTTTCTTCAAGGGCGTACTTGTATATACGCTTTGAAATTTTATCACAGATTGAAAGCCGACTCTCGTATAGAAAATTAAACGCCGCACATTGACGTCAATGGGGTTACAATCTTGCATAACCACAGATAACCAAAATTTCTGGCACAGTTTCAGCGAGTTACGTGTCGTGGGACACGACGTATAATATGAATCCCAATGAAAGTGTCGTAAAAGCTTCGATCAACCACATGTAGGGTTCGATAAAACTACAGTATTGCTTTATTCTGTACATCTTCGAGCATATCTCATAGCATAGCCTTGTCCTACTATTTTCAAGGTTCCCACACATCTCCAACATTTACAACCCTGTATATAAACGCATTCTTCATCCAGGGGAACACAGGTATAAAGTGGATCCATCAAACCCTGTATGATAGAATATTGAATGTAGACTTTACTTTATTTATCAAGGACAACGATCTTTGATAAGAAGAGGGTCTTTATCAAGCGTTGAGGTTCAATGAGACGTGCAACGATACCTTTGCAGACATAAGGCCTGTATTGTGCAATCTTGGAATGAAACTTTTAGAGGTCCTTATCATCGACAGACGTCATATATGTGATTTTAAAAAGGGGCATCACATCATACGTGCAAGTGCCGTGCAATGATAGTGGCAAAATTGAGGGAAGCGTTTGCTGATGGTGGTGTTGGGGAATTAAGAAGAGCAATAGGGGGAATTTTTCTATTTAAGTGTCGTGTGTCAACTAGATGTCACCCATATGAAGATAGATACCCAAGGCACCAACAACACAAACACCTGCAAATGCAGAAACTACATACTGTACATTAAAACCCCAAATGTAACTGAATGACCTTGGAGAAAATAGTTATGAAACAGGTTTAAAAAAATTCCTTCTATGAATTTGCTGATCTCCAAGTTGTTGCAAATTGTATTAGTTCTAAATTTAGCAGAGTCAAGGAGAACCCAAATTCTTGTCCTTGAAAGGCTAATTCTTCTTCTGTGAGAACCTTGGAAGACCTCGGTTCTCTCGTTGCTTATTGAAGCCTCCAAGGCTGCATTTCACTTCAAATCCTGTTGCTAATTCTTGTCCTTGAAGGACTGCTTTCCTGTTTCCCAAAAACCACAGAATTGACACAGTTTGACTCAAGCATTTGTGTGTGCTGTTTCTCTGAGATTTTGCAAGGTTTTCAGTTCCTTTCAGTCAATCCTACAAATTATACCAACTTCAGAATAGGGTGATTTCACCCTGGTTGCAGCCCAACCAAATCATTGTGTTTCATTTTCTAAAAACAACCTTTTCTCAGTCATTCTAAATTCTCAAATTTCAAATCTTTATTTGTTGGGATTTATTCCTGACACAAGTCTTCACCAAAGCTCAGCAAGAACATCAGGAAACTTCTTTCACTTTGTGTTTCCTAGCTCTCCCAAAATCTTCAGTTAAATCGTCTTCATGTGTGTGTATAATCTTTTGAATTATTTTCTGTGCAACAGAATAACAGTCTTTAGGGCTCAAGCCTTGGCCGCAAAAGAGCCTATTGTGTTTAACATTCATTTTTTAAATGAACAAATTACTGTAATTTTTTGCCAGTGCATGGTATATCTCAAGGACCCATGCCATGACATCAAGCAATGTTGAATCACTGGAACACCTTCTTTTCTTATGCCCAGCATTCCACAAAATCAGAGCTGAAATTTTGAAAGACCTGGCATTATCACAATTAAAAAAAAAAGGTTCTCTCTGAAAATCTTGGAGGACCAGGGAAAAGTGTTAGTTCTTTGTGATTTTTCATTATGAATTAACTTATTGTGTCATCAACTCATCATATAGCAACTGTTGCTGTAACTATTATTCAGTCAAACCCTGCACAATGGACTTGATTTATACTGTATTTAGATTGTGTGAAAAGTCTGTTATGCAAATTTTATCATTAAAAATTTAAAACATTTACTTTTTACTATTATATTGAACCAGCAGAAGCCTGTTTTGCAGATTTAGTCCATTGTGGAGGAGGGAAAAACTGCCTCCAAGCAGAGGGGGTCTGATGTGTGGGAGGTCTGTTATGCGGGGTTGGCAGCATATAATTGTGTTCCTCACGCCAGTTTTGCGTATTTGAATAAATCAGATTGGCCAATCACAAAATGGCTGACGCAAGAATGCGCACCAGCTGGAATGATCCAGAAGCCATCTTGGGCCCAGCACAAGTCATTCAATTCAGAGCTTCTGTGAGGAATGGACTTTAAGCAAAGCAAGCTTTTTGTGTAGTGTTTTTGTTGTACTGCAGATATTTGAAGTAAACTGATTTACACCTTGATCAAGTGTACAGTTTCTTATCTGAGAAATTCTTGTGAGTGCTCATCACTGATTTTATGAGTGGCAAAGTCTTAGCATATATTTATTCTTTGAAGTGTATCATTTTCTTCCTTGGGGTCATTCACAATTTTTTGACTGGTTACCTAAACGTGAGCAACATATCAAGAGCTATTGATTGTCAGAATGTGGTTCAAATTCACTAAAAAATGAATAACATGACTTTGAAAGAATTCGATTTTCAAATAGAAAAAGCGCGGATTGGTCACTTTGAAGAAAACCATGCTTTATGCTAAGCTCACAAAAAGTTGAGAAAAGGTTTGCAAAGATGCACAACAATCCAGATTCGCAAGCTCAACAAATAATGTCACTTCTGAGATGACTATAAATTATGAGCGGAAATGAAGAAGTATGTCCTTATGACGTCCTTATGTCATCGTTGTAAGTGTCGCTCTTAGTCATCAAGTTTTGTGAGATTCATTTCTTCTTCCTGAAAAACTCTCCTCCTCCGCTACCTCCAACTCTGAATAATTAAAAAAAATCGAAATTCAGATCATGATGGAAAGGATATTCATTGAAAATTGATCAACAAACCCAAATGCTGATCCACCACTGGTGTCACCATATCTGGAAAATAAAAAGAAAGAAAATAGATTCAATAGCTCATAACATTCCGATTTTCTTTACTTCCGCCAGAAAGTATAGGAGTATTTCTTGAAAATTTGTAAAAAATAGGCCTGAATCAACAGCAAAACTGCATGCTTTTGATCTTATAATTCATGATGCTTATTTTTTCCTGAGATTTCATATAAGAGTATAGACGGAACGATTTCTGTTTGAAAATGGGTAAGATTATTGAATGTAAGGAGAGCTTTTATTGACCATTTCTTGAGAAATTTTTTCTGAAATGTTGTGGTACTGCTAAACTGCACTCATGAAGTTCCATGTGTCATCCTGTATATCCAGTGAAGACCATCAGACTTATTGATCAACGTTAAATTATTTTTCATTCAATACAAATGCACTAATTTTGGTGTTTGCAAAGAGTTTCTCAACTAAATTTCTAAAATTTTAGAAATTGTTTACAAGTGGAAACGTTGAATTTATTACGGCTCGCCTTTCATACCAGTTTCGGAAATGAAAAGTCTGAAATTTTTTGAAATCCCAGGAGCTGTGTGCACATTGGATTTACGGTACTCAAATTGAATGTGCACTTGATTAAGATGGGCTCCTGATTTTCTCATCCTAAAATTTGAATAAAAATTATCCCGATGCAATACGCGCATCCCATTTGTAGTTACAGAAAAATGTACAAACTTACGGAAATAAAGCACACCAGAATTTAAATTTCGACTTGATTTTTTAGACTCAAATGGCAGTAATTTTCAATTATACAGGTACTTTATATCTTGCGCGACAATATTTTCTACAGCGATTTTTTTACAGATTTTTTTTCTAGTGTCAGGTTCCCTCCCCATGTTATATAGGGGTTCACTCAAACGAATTTTTCTCTAGATACAGTACAAGGATTTTTTTCCCTCATCCCAAAAATTTCTTTTTAGGGAAAGTCCACTTGTATTTTCCATTGAAATAATTATTTCTCTAAAATCGGTCAATATTTCCCATTAGAATCAAGTATGAAGCACAAGCACTTGAACTTTTAAAACCTTGAAAATTGTTTTCATTTTCTTTTTTATGTTTTTGAGGAGCACCCTCTTTCTTCTTTTTTCGTTTAAAAATAAATAAATAAAAGGTTCGAGTGGTACTTGTGTAAAATGGGATGAGGTGAAAACTTTTGCAGACTTAAATTGATTCCTGACTAATTCATTAGCTCACCCAACCCCGGCGCCTCCTCCACTGGCAGAGCCGCCACCTCCCATGCCTTCAACGCCGTAACCGCCGCCGTTTTGTCCATGGTCGGCTGCACCTTCTGCCCCGTAGTTGCCACTCTGATGTCCATGGTCTCCGTGTCCCTCAGCTCCATAATTGCCGCCGTTTTGTCCGAAATAACCATCGCCTTCTTCCCCGTAGTTTCCGCCGTTTTGGCCGACATCCGCGAGACCCTCGACGCCGTAATTGCCGCCGTTTTGGCCATAGTAGCCCTTGCCTTCGGAGCCATAACTGCCGCCGTTTTGTCCATAGTATCCATCGGCTTCCTGGCCATAGTTGCCGCCGTTGACGCCGTGTTCCCCGGCGCCTTCTTCGCCATAATTGCCGGCCTTTTCGCCAAAATCACCCAAGCCTTCTGCGCCGTAATTCCCGGAATTATGACCGTGGTCTCCGTGTCCCTCGGC